AAAAGAGATCTGCTTTTATGTTCTGAACTCAAATGATCACTGTACAGGTAAAGGTGGGGAGGACAGAATTTTCTTCCAGTTCAGAGTGGCATGTAACCTATAGCTTTAAAAACAAACAAACACCTTAGCTTACTTGCTTGAAAGATGTGGGTATGGTAATCCAGGACACATTTCTAGTACAGTGGACATTAACTGTTCCACTTATTTACTACTGCAAAACTTCTGTATTCTCAATGATATGGGTTAGTCCATTAGCAATGTTCTGATTGTTTGTTTATCAAATTTATAACTTGCCCTCCCAGCCAAGGGCAGCTCAGGGTGGCTTACATAAAAATAAGATACATAAATAACAGTTAAAACAGTCATAAAACTTTCTAAAACCATCTGACATTATAAAGTGTTAGCAATCATTATTATTATTTAACAATGATAGCCATTTTTTGATGATCTGTTCTCATGGTCGGCTCATGGATCTTTCCTTTAGGCAGCTGGCACAGGCTGTTGTTGGAGACTCCAGGGGGCAGGGTCCTCTATCCTGCAAATGTTGGGGGTGGGTCCTTGATTAAAAGCCTGGTCTCTTCCAGGAGCTCATTCCACCAGAATGGTGCCGCCACTGAGAAAGCCCTAGCCCAGGTTATAGCCAGCCTGGCCTCCTTGAGACCCAGGAGAGTCAGTAGATTTTGGGACCCTGAACACAGTGCTCTCTAGGGAACATGTGGGGAAAGGTGGTCCCTCAGGTATGTAGGCCCCTGACCATAAAGGGCTTTAAAGGTACAAACCAGCACCTTGAAGCGAATTCGGTATGCTATTGGTAGCCAGGGCAATGTGTTCAGCACAGGCTGGATGTGCTCCCGCATAGGGAGGCCCATCAAAAGCCTGGCTGCAGCATTTTGCACTAGCTGCAGCTTCCTAATTTGAGACAAGGCAGCCCCGTGTAGAGAGCATTATAGTAGCCCAATCTCGAGGTGACCATTGCATGGATCACTGTTGCCAAGTCGTTGCATTCGAGGAAGGGAACCAACTGCCTGATCAGCTGATGGTGGTAAAAGGCTGATTTGGCAATGGTTGCTACCTGGGCCTCCATTGTTAAGGAGGTGTTCAGGAGCACTCTCAAACTCCAAACCTTCGGCACCGGCACCAGTGGTGCCCCATCAAAGACTGAGAGTGGGATCCCTACCCTCGGGCCACCCTGGCTTAGGCACAGGACCTCCATCTTCGTTGGATTCAATTTCAGTCAGCTTAGTCTAAGCCATCCAGCCACGGCTTGTAGATCCCTTCTGGATTGGAAGGGATCTAAAATGGAAGCATCATCCAAAAAGCTCTGTAACTGAGTTGCCACAGCCCTCTCTATTATCTTGCCCAAATAGGGCAAGTTGAAAATTGGCTGGTAATTTGCCAATTCAGCTGGATTCAAGGATGGCTTTTTCAAGAAAGGACAGACCACCGCTTCCTTGAGTGCCCCAGGGAACAGTCCCCCTGAGAGGGACTTGTTAATAATCTTCCTTAGGGCACCTCAAAACCCATCGTGGCAAGCTTTGATTAGCCATGAAGGGCACGGATCACGGGAGTATGTGGTGGGGCGTACAGTTAGGAGCAATTTGTCAACTTTCTCTAGGCTGAGTAGACGGAAATGATCCATAACCTGAACAGAAGATGTGCATGGAGCATCGTGTTTGCTCACTGTCTCAACTGTAGTGGGAAGGTTGTGGTGGAACAACAAGACTTTATCTGAGAAATAGCTTGCAAAAGTCTCACAGTCAATATCCAATTCCCTAGCGTTTGGTCTGCCTTGCGACAGGGCAGTAATGGACCAAATTGTTCTAAATCAGGGGTGTCAAACTCATTTGTTATGAGGGCTGGATCTGACATAAATGAGACCTTGTTGGGCCAGGCCATGTGTGTCATAAAATGTAATTCCAGGTAGCAGATATATAAGCTTTATAAAGGACACAAACACAACGAAAGATTTTTTAAACTTTAAATAAAACATGCTTAAAACACTAGC